TTCTTCCTTAGCCTTGAATGTGTTTGTTTTCCATTTCAGATTTAATCTGTAATCCTATTTTAACAACTTTCCCTCAACTCATGGATCAGCCAGACCTGATGGATGCACTTCGGGTATGTTATCTACATATTGTTCAATTACATCTGACGTGTCAGGATTTCCAGATAGTTTTGCAAAATTTGAGATTTTTTTTTATCCTGTGGAAAGATAAATAAATGGAAAAGCCAAACAGCAGAAAAAGTTTTATAATTGTTTCAAGTACGTGCATATCTTGTGTGTCTTAGTGCCTTCAAAACTGCAAGAGAACGCTTGAGTACATTCAGAAGGGATGCAAAGGCATGAATTGGCTAGTTTGAGCACTGCTAGCCATGTAGCCAGAGCAAGAGAGTGCTCAGGTGGATTAGCTGTCTGAATGTTCTTCTGGCTTGTAGGACAGTGCTGCTTTCATGACAGGGAGGAGCTGACTTAGCTTCTGACTGGCAGGACAGTGCTCACCGTATTTACACTGCAGTCCCTCGCAGGCATCCTAGTACCAGACAACAACAGCCGAGTTATTTCTGCCTGAAGGACACTTCTGTTAGAAGCTGTCAGCCTTTGGGGTTAGGCTGTATTTCTCCATCCTTGTAGGGTAGAAAAAAATCAACCTCAGTTGTAACTGATTTTTCTGAAAAGAAAGGATCCCCTTGATTTCATTTATATGGCTCTGATAATTTCAAATCTCCAAATCCTTGCATCTGTAAAATTTGGTGGAATGGCTGTTTGCTTAAATCAACTAAACTGGCACAAGGGAGAAATGGGGAGTATGAGGAAAGCGGGACTGCAACACGAGCTTAAACTACTGCGGGATTGGATTGCAGTGAGAGAGATTTTTGCAGCTAAAAATGGAATTGCTTTAGATCTCCACAATCTCAGTCTGATTTTACATTTCATTTCATTTTAGAGTGCTTGGGCAGATAGAGAAAGAACATTGAAGAGATCTGAGAAGGTAATAAAGTACAGGTTTTTCTTTGACATATATTCAATCTAATTCGAACCAGAAGCTGTCAGTGTTATTGCTAGTTAACTTTTCCTCTCACCATACATTTATTTAGAAAATGTAGATAAGCTAAATGCAGTTCTTAACATTTCTTACCCATATTTCTAACAGTACACTAGGAGAAGGAACATGAAATTAACTTGTAACTTTTTGTCTCAGTGTTTGTATGTGGTTGTTAGTGGGGAAGCTATTACAGGTTCATACCCGAAGCGTGGCTCCTTTTCATGATGTGCTTCCAATACTTGACTGGTAAAAGCTTTCCACTGGTACAAAAGGGGCTGTGTATGCCCACAAAATAATCTTTCTGCCTCCAAAAAGACTGTGAGCTCCTCCCACAGTCTGCCTGGAAAAAGGTCCCCAAATTCTGCAAATCTCCCTACCTCAGACAGTTGTGATCTCCCATTTTGGCATGTAGACAGCTGGAGAAGAACTGAATTGGCCATGTCACCAGGTTTACCTGTACCTTGTCCTACCTTCTGTCCTCTGGACAAAGAGAAGCTGTAGGTATCTGAATGAGAAAGGCATTGGTTCTTGATCCAAGACACTTCACTTCTTGGGAGCAGCAGCAGGGTATTTCATTCATTGTGCGTGCTACTGAATAGATACACAAAGAGATCTCCCTGTTTATGCAAACAAAATGCAATGCTCTTGAGTCAGAATCACTTTTTCAAGGCCATTCATCCAAAATGAAAGCTGATCTGCTCAAAGAATTAGTAACTCCTCGCTATCCCAGAACCATCCAGTTTTACCTGATTTGTCATGTGCCACTCCCATGGTAGGATTGCTGCCTGGCGAATTCTTACTCCTTGCATGGTTATATGATGCTTAGCTGCTAAATCTCCTGCTGAGACGTGAAGTGTTCAATGCCAGTCATAGCGCTCGCATTTCTAGAATGTTTCTGGAAGAGTTCGGTGGTCAATGAGTTTTCCAGGAGGCAGTGCTCTGTGCGTGTCCTTCTTGCATGAAGGGGTTTTTCTAGTGTTCCTGTGGAAAACGAGGCACACAAATCTTGTCTAAAGTGGTTGGGATCTTTCAGTGTTTGATAATTGGCCAGGCTGATTCTTAGTTTCTGGGTTTTGCAAACTGGTCTTTACAGGGGAGGGCATAATTCTTGCCACACACAGAATGTCCTGTCAAAGTGTGAAATAACACTACTTATGGTGTGGCCTTACCTCCTGCTAAGAGCCACGTGCTGCGCGGAGCGTGGGATTGTTGCAGCTCTCTGCCTAGGGCAGTAGAGAAACAAGTGGAGTTTGGGCTTCCGAGGTGGGGAGGATCTGGCACTTGCCCGGCGGCCATGGCAAAGAGTCTCTCAGTCTGTACCTGCAGAGGCTGTGGGGAACAGTTGTCAGACGCTGGTGTTTTTAGGAAGAAATAGAAATACTCCATGAGCAAAGGGCTCTCAGTGACCCTTGTACAGATTGCCGTTTTGTGGTAACACTGCCAGGGTTTGGCTGTGTATCGCTGTTGTTTGTTGTTTGGAAGAATAGGTGGGTTGAAGAGCAGATTTGTTGATCTGTAGTTCATATAGTGTAATTCTTGGTGGTGAGTTTAAGGCTCATCCAAGCTAACTGACGTTTGCTTAGGAAGGTCAAATCTCATCCCGTTGTTATCCTGGGAACTTGGGGTTAGTCAAATGTTTTCTTGTTTGTTTGTTGGTTTTTTTTTTTCCTGCGTACAATACTTCTGGAGAAGAGCTTGGCAACACCACGTATTTGCACTGAAGTATTTTCAAATACTCTTCTCTGCAGAGAGATGGAGAATTTCTGAAGTCTCTGTTTGTCCTGGTGTACCACGACTCTGTCTTCCCTCTCCTCCAGTCCACTTTCCTCCCTGACTACAAATGGGCTGAGGAAGAGTCTGAAGCATCTCGCTGGAAGGCCATTGCTGACTTTTTGAAAAAGAGCCGAGAGAATGATGGTGCACTTCAGTATTTGCTGTCACCAGAAAACACTCACAGAGCCTTTGATATTTCAGAGCTGGCTTACGATTTCTTAGAAGTGAGGAAAAACAATCCTGGGGTATGAATGGATTATAGAAAACAATACGGGCTACGTAAGAATGGGGTAACAATATAAATAAATTCTTACAAAAAAGAAACTGTGTACTATCTGAATTGTAATGAATATTTTAACATATTTAACATTTTGAGAGACTAAAATTATTTTACCAGTTTAACTAATGTAAATTGTATTTTAAATTTTGCCCTTTGGAATGTTAGACAAGGCTATGGTTGTCTGTTGCTAAGTGTACCTGTTGTAGCCACATCGAGTGTCCTATTTTGCCTAAGCTGAGCAAATGCTGAGGCAGCACTTTTCTCCTCTCGTGCAGCTTCCAATTAATTTACAATTTTGTTTTAATCAGGGTGAACAAAAGACTCTTTTTCACAGTACCCCAGTCGATGGGTAACAGGCAAGGAAAATAGCAATGACCTTTAAGAATGCTGCTGAGCAAGGTCAGCCAGGTTAGGGGAAAAAACTCATCTCTTGTCCAATCAGTGGACAGCAGGCTGCTCTGTATTTAGACTGTTTTACTGTTTTTCTTTCCCACTCAGGAAAAGGTTGGGTTATTCATAGGAATGTGCTTGACCCACCTAATTCAAATAAAAGCTGGTAAGAATTCAGGGCACGCTGTGTTTCCCCTGCACACGGTCATGCCATACGGTAGTTCCCTCTGTGCTGACTTTCTAGGGCAGGCTAAGATGCTGCGGGGTACTCCTCAGGTGGACCAGGATGTTAAAGGCTTCTTTCCCTGAGCAGTTTGTAACCACAGGCTGTATGTGCTGCCTGCTCCCAGTGGGAAGTTATTCATCCGATTTCTCTTTTGTGCTGGAGTGTCCGGATGCTATCGACATGCTGATGGGTATGTTGCCACCGTGTCCCACGAGGCAGGCAGGCACTGAGTCACATGTGGATTTAAGTCTCAGCCAGGCACTAGTTTTGTCTGGTATGAAATGTTGTTTTAAAGCCAGATCTTTCAAAGACCACAGCACACTGCATGGAGCCCGAAGCCAGCTCCCACTGACAGCATTTGTAAACTGGAGCCTCCAGAAATGCCACAAAGCACTTCCCCCTGGCCTAGGAGGGGCTCGGACAATAAGAAGCAGCATGGATTTGATCTTTGCTCTGTATTGTGCAAGAGCTTGTCATAGACTCTAAATTCTTCGGGCATCACATCCTAACAGAGAGATATGGTATTTTACTAGGATGTTGTCCTCGTGCTGTAGCGTGTTGTCTAAGTTAGTGGAGTCATTCTGTCCTCTCTAGGCCATGAGGCAGATGCCACCTTCAGCCTTTCATCCCACCAGTTATTGGTGAGTTACGGGGTGAGGCAGAGTCTGCTGGAGGAAACGGCATGTGCTTGTTGAATCCAACAGGTAGAAATGAAAGCTGTCCCAGTAGCTGTCCTTCAGACCCTTGCGGGCACTTAAGAGCACACAGGCAAACCCTCCCGTGTTTTACCACTGCGTTGAGTTGTCTGTAAAAAACGTTCAGCTGCAAGTTTTTGAAGGCTGGACGTGCCCAGTGGGTGTGGGGGAATCTGATGTGAACACGGAGCAGAAACCTGAACAGAAAGGGGAGGAGGCAACAACAGTGGAAGCAAAAATATGTCAGGCTTGAAAGAGTGCCAAGGACAAAAATTGATTGCAGGAAATGTTTTTGCCCTGGTGTGGTGTAGGATTTTTTTCTCTCCCCTCTTGTTAAAAGACCTTGAATTGATTGTGTGCTGGTGGTGAGGCTGGGGTCCTGTTGGTCTCCGGTCCCAGTGTTGGCGGCAGGGTGTGTGAAGCCAGCTGCAATAACTGGAGGGCTGCCGAGGGCTCCTTCAGCCAGAGGAAGCAGTGTGGTGCCAGCCTGGGCTGGTTTCTGTGATTACATCCCTACGGGTGTGTCAGTTAAAACTCCACACAGGAGCGGCGCGGCACAGGCAAATGTGAGCGAAGCCGAGCCGGAGCGGTCACGGCATCAGCTGAGAAGAGATGGCCTCAGCGAGTCCCCCTGTGGCCTCCACACAGCCCACCTTGCCCTCTGGACCTGCTGTCTTGAAAACGGTCCCCTACGCCTTCATCCTACCGGAGATAGTGAGTATGCTGAGCTTTGCTGCGTTACAGCACCCCGCTAGTGGCTCTAGCGAATTTAAAAATCAGGGAGCAGCCCCCAAAATGATCCTGAAGACAGCATTAATGGGAAATAACATCTTCTCTTTTGCTTATACTGAATGCACAAAGGTGGTCTTTGTGATGTTTTTGGAACAGCTTGAGGGCAAGATACAGTCCAGGTCCACGCCACAGCCTGCATAAGGGTCGCTGGCTGCCGTGGGGCTGGGAGAGGCTGAAGAATTGCCAGCGCCTCCAGGGCAGGAGCAGCTCTAGTTATCACATAGAAATTGCTTGAAAATCAAGGAAATTTCATTCACTGTATTCAGTCTTTCCAAGGGCTTGAAGGCAATTGGGTGTCGTGTGACATTCCATGAATCTTTCAATTGCTTATGGGTCCAGAGGGCAGTCGGTGGGACTGGCTGAGATAACTGATGGTGTACTTTGACACATGACACAGTGCTGGTGACCCACACCACCCACGCTTCATGGGCGCAATTGCTGTGGCTGGGCTTTGCTGTGAGCTGCCTGTGCTAGTGGGCTCAGCTCCCTGCTGCAAATCTGGGGGGGGGGTTTCATCCACCAGAGCTGGAACAGCGCAGGGCGGCGTGAGCTTATCCAGATAATCCTGCACGCTGTCTGTGCACGGTAAATATTTTGGGTGGATCCAGAGCAAGCGACTCACTCTGGGCTGGTGCGTGGAGTCAGGGGGAAGACTTCCTCATGCTGCGATTTCAAGCCCAGGAGATTAATGAGCCCGCAGGGCTGGGCTGATGTGGCTGTTCGCCTTTCCCAGATAAAAGCACATTTTCTGGCTTCTCTGCCAAAGGCTTCGGAGTGAGATGTTTCCTTGCATCGAATACAGCAGCAAACTTTTGCCTTTTGTAATAAACATTTTTAAGTATTTTCCAAGAGTGTTAGGGGAAACTCGTGCCAGCGCGTGGTGCTGTTGTCATGCTGGGATGCTACAGGAGGCTGGTCCGCAGTGCCTGAAGATGCAGGGCTTCTCAACAGCTGCTGGGGCCAGTGTGGGAGGGAGGTGAGGAGAGACTCAGGGAGGAGAAAGCCCTTGGGGAGAGGGCTTTCCCCATTCCGTGCTCACTGGAGGCACCTGTGTTTGTCCCCGGCAGCTCTGCGGGACCTGGGTGTGGATCCTCATCGCTGCTACCTCCGTCTCCTTCCCACTGCTGCAGGGATGGGTGATGTACGTGTCCCTCAGCTCCTGCCTCATCTCCCTGCTGCTCCTTATAAGCTACCTCTTCGGCTTTCACAAAAACAGCGAGAACTGGAAAGTGCTGGTAAGGAGGGGCTGGGACACTGGCAGATGTTGGCAGCAGCAGTGCGGGTGCAAGACCACTGTGGCTGGTGACGGGTTAGCCGGCCAGCTGCCAGCCCTTCTGCAACCAACCAGCCTTTTTTCTTCCTTTTTCCTTGATTGGAAATGCCGAGGGAAGCTGTGCTACGCTGCAGGTGCTGTGTGGGCACAGGGGAGGGTTTGGCATGGTACAGGGGTTTGGTTCCAGCCCCTGTCTGGGCACGTCTGCTGTTTGAGCACTTGCACGTGCAGAGGATGGACCTCATCCTCAAGGCGAATCAGAAAAGGACAGTCCCGGGCAGGCTTTGATCCTTGCCGCTCCTTTGTATTGCAGGACAGTTTGTACCACGGTGCCACAGCCATTCTGTACATGAGCGCTGCTGTCTTGCAAGCCAATGCAACCATCCGCTCCGAGCTTGGCCCCAACTCGCCACTTTACTACCAGCTCAACAGCGCCGCATCGGTGAGTCAGTCCAGAAAACCCCAGGCAGGCCGAAGCACCTGCAGTTCCCCTTGGGGAGATGTAAGAGCAAATATTAAAGCCACAGCAGAGCCACCCCAAGCCCAGCAGTGTCATACTGGTCAGAGCTTCAGCTCCTCGTCTCTTGCATCATGCAGCCAGCATGGGCTTCTCAGGGTCCAGCAGCTCATGGACAGCCTTGTGTAACAGCCTCCTGGGAAATGTGGGGGGCTTTGCCTTTTCTTTGAGGCTGGAGAGAGCTCTAGGCTGGGAGGTTTCTCTAGGTCAAGAGCACTGAGAGGAGATGGGGTTAGACTCTCCCAGCTGACCCCAGCTTTTGCTCTTCTTCCTCTCATGCAGTTCTTCGCCTTCATCACAACCTTCCTGTACATCCTCCATGCCTTCAGCATCTACTACCAGTGAGCCTGGCAGTGCCAGCTTTGCCTCTGCAGGACCAGGGCTTTCCTAGCGCGAGGGATGCAGCTGTCTTACACCATGGTGTCCCGGCCCCAGCCCTGTCACCCACCCTGTGGGGACGGGGGTTGCTTTTTCACTTCATTGAAGGAGGGATTTTTGTACAGCTGTGCTGTGTCGGTGTGCTTGTGGGGACATTTTGTGCCTTGCCTATGGGCTATGCAAGGGGAGGGACTGGGTGCGGGCTCCAACGTTCTGCCAAATATAGACAACCAAGGACAGGAAAATAAAAGAAAATGACTGTTCCTTCAGCAAACGATTTCCTTTCTTATATTATTTTCCTATCTCTCGTTCAGCTAGACCAATCCCCAATACATAAATACATAACAATAATACAATATTGTGTTCTTTGACTTTCAGATAATTTCATTTGGTATATGCAGTACTTGGAATAAAGTGTCTACTAACAGTGTCTGACCAAGTAGATTTCAACCACTAGATAAGCGATGTTCATTGAACAAGCTAATTTTACTCCGTAAGAGTTAAAAATTTCCTTTCAAAAACCAGAAAATGTTCACAGACTTAGAAAGCTACAACAGACTTTTTAAACACATAAATCATAGAACTTCTAACAAACTTCTAGATATAGTATAAAACTACAGCATGAAAAGACTTATTACTACAGTTATTTACAGTAGTTCTTCTCCAGTGTCTACTAATTGCCATTACAAAATCTGCAGCTGCAGAGTTCAGTCACCACTTAACACAGGTGTTACAGGTGTCCCTCCTCTCTGCACCTTCAGCACTGGAGTCACTGGTAGAGGGAGCTCCCTCCTCTCTCTGCTTGAGATAATCCTCCGCTTCTGGGATAGCGTTGACTCGCAGTACATCGAGGTAGAGAAGGTAGTCCTGGAGACAAGCTGGCAATGGCAGTTCCCGGATAAACCGATCTGATCGCAGGCGTTCACTCGTTAGAAGGGACCGGATCTCAAGACGACAAAGATGAAACAGAGAAGGAATGAAGGCTGAAAAATTAAAAAACAAGTCAAACACTGAACAGGACACCATGGGATTACATCACTTGCCTGCAGTTACCTGGTTTAGCTGGATCCCATCTGAACCCCCCAGTCTCTGGGCAGGTAACGACGCAGAGTTCTCAATAGTGAAGGGCTGTTGCCTGCTAGAATCAGCATTTTAAAAATCTCCCTCTAGCTAGAAAAGTTACCTTAAACGTCTAGAAACAAAGTGTCAAAAAATCATTTTATCCTTAATCAGAAAGTTTTATCTAACCAGCCTAGAACAGCTAGCTACCTGCTTGGGGAGAGAGAGAGGCTAATGCCATCTTACAAGAAATGAAACATTAAGTCTGGAAGTAAATCCAGCAACAAAATAACAGAAGGGGAAACACTTTTAAGATAAGTACTAAATGACAGCATGACTCATTTGTTTGTTTAGGGTAACTACTATTCTGCTCCCCAGTTTCTGGACAAACAATGTCTATCGACTATTGAACCTTCTTTGCTGTCGTGCATTAGCACAAAGAGCTGTTTCCTACTTACAGCCTGGAAGCTGGCATACACAGGAACTTTTTTCCTAACTCTACTGCTTACCAAAATGGCTCTTGGGAGTCCAAGTGAACTTCTCTTTGTAGTCTGAAAGGTCTTGCTCTACAGCTGGAGGAAGTCTCTTCCAGTTTGTAAACTCCAGGATGAAATTAAGGGCATTCCCGCTCACAGAGAAAATCCTGCATAACAAAAACTCCCATAAATATCATTTTACACAATAGCGTACGTATAATAATGGTCACAATGCATAGAAAGCTTTACTGTTTTCTAACAAATCCTTAACAACCTACATCCCAAGCCCAGAAACAGAAAACTACTAAAGAGAAATTCAAAGTAGTTTTGACAGCCCAAGCCTTTACTAATGTAATTTTATCTTCCTCCATTTCTTTTTAAAAGTTAGACTGTAAGAGAAAAATCTCTGCTCTGAAATTTAAATGCCTCAGTAATAGGCAGCATTCTCCTCTGCACTAATTTCTCATTCCATTCCCACCTAAATTTTAATAAGGGGTCAAGACACCAGAGCATTATAAGCATTACCATCACATTTGGGGAAAAAATGCACATAGATTCAGATATTTATTAAAACAAAACAAAACAAAAATCCACAAAATTTGCAAGTGTTTCAAACTCTCCATCTACCAAAAACTGCATTTACCTGTATTCAGAAATCAGTATGATTTACATTTCAAACCTTTAGCAGATTTGATTATGAAGAACTTCTAATAAGAGCTTAATAGAATAAAGTGTATAAGGAGGTTTAAGTAACAGCAGGTAAAACAACTGTTTTAGTATTGCACGTGCTGAAAAGCCATGCAATTTCACAGAACAGCTTCTTGGCTAGATGTATACAATCCTGAATTTTCATTTGAATGAAAATCTAAATGCTCTAAATAGAGAAAAATACCAGACTAAAAATTTTTAATTCACTTGCTTTTTACAAGAGATTCATGTCAAAATTATTTTATGTCCTTTCTAGTGTTTATTATTTCATTTTCATATTTGACTGAACTTTCATAAATTCACCGAAAACCATACAGGAGAGAGATCTGATTGCCTAACTTTCTCTACGGAGAACAGTGATTTTACTTTTTCCACTGGTAATTAAAATTGTCACTGCTCTAGATTGACCAGTTTATGATTGATTATACAGTTGTTTTACACAATGAGCCAGAGACAGTTAATGAATGCATAAATGTCCTTTGCTGTCTACTATCCTCCTGTTATTTTCCAGTACGGAATAGTTAATGTTGAAGCTAAACTTACAAAAACATTAGTTTTGTACATTATGATGTGATAAGCATTATTTTTAAAAGTGGATATTTAGACAAAGGAAGTGACTGGTATAAAAGTGTGGACTACATAACAAAATATCAAAAATCATCATATATGACGTACACAGACAGTGAGATTTGTTTACTCACTGAACTGCAATCTTGTAGTGTGATTACTTTTGCAATCACTTAGTCTTCTATGCATAAATATGATCTACAGAAGCACTGCTATACCATGCTTTATATATACTCCTCTAATTAATGTTCAGAAAGCCATGGATGCTAATGATTAACAGAATCTCACTAAGTCATAAATGAATGCACTTAAAACTACCAATGATATCTTAACCACGATATCTTAACAGTACCTGAAATATAAATCAGTATTTAAGTAAACCATAAAATCCTACTCCTTTCATACAGCTAAGTAATGCATGTAATGAGTTTATACATCTCACATTATGTTATTAACAGCTGAGACATACGGTAGCAGTCTAAGCATCATCTTCACAGACAAGAAAAAAACAGAAAAACATACAAATACTGCATAATTTTAAATATAAGTTTAATTCTGTAGTGCCTAATTAAATATAAAACATCACCAAACAGTTATTTGTATGTGGAAAACCTTAAAAAAAAAAAAAACCACACCCCCCCCAAAAAACCCCAGACTGGAATTTTCACCACATTATTTTAACACAATCTCTAACTGCATCCGTTTCCTCTTCTCCTAGCCTTGGCCCAGCTTCACCTTACATTTGTTTCCCATCCCTCCTGACCTCTTTCTCAGTATTTGAATTTTTTCCTCCCATTACCATATTATACATACACACGCAATTTGCAACTAACTTTGGGGGCTAATAATAGATGTTCAACATAGAAACTGCAAAATTATGCCTTTCTCCAGGGTAGTGATAAAGCAATCTCATTTCTGACTTTCTTCCTAAAAGAAATTTGTTTTACTGAATCCAGCCATTACCCGTGGATGATTTATTTCAGACTTTCCGTAACCCTCACCATTCCTGATCATGGCAACTGATGATCAAGTACTATCCTCTGAAAGCATGCGTTAAATAACATTGGCAACAGCTTTGCAGATTAACATACAATATTTAAGTAAACAAGATAACATTATCTGCTTACCAGAATCTGCGCATTAAATTCACTGGATTAAAACCGGCCAAGAGCAGATAAGGCAGCCATTCCTTGTACTCCTCTTGCGCTTTAATTGTGTAACTTAGGAACTCCGATAACTGGTCCCCAGAAGGCAGTGAACAGCCCAGCTTCAAGAAGCGTTGAAACAAAGTAAACTTTTCATGGAACAGGCAATATCCCAAATTAATCCCAAGTAAGGTGATCCCGTATTTTAGGAAAATATCAATGAAATGAAAAAACCTATGAACAGCACACAAGGAATAGGACATCCTGTTAGTTCTTCCCCAGACCTTTGAGAAAGCAAATTTCTTCTACCAAAACTCCCCCCAAACCAAAGAAAAACCCAGCATGACATTCGGACTGCAGTTCTTTCTGGAAAGCATCACTTTAAAATGTAGAACTAGTTCAGGAGACTCCAGTCCTTACATTTAACTCATGTATTCATTTTATCCTGAAAAACCTGTAGTTCCAACCAGCTTCCAGCCCTTTAAAGCAAGCCTTTTGATCACAGATAGAAACCTCCCAAAGTCATCAATTACTGGGATCTGTAACCCAGAGGTATTACCACATTGCTGCTCCACCACGCGCTTGCTGTAAGCAGAAAGCACTGTGCCCACTTGATGAGGTTTCACCTTAAAAACATGCCACATGCAACAGATGGACAAGTATGCAAAAATATCAAATGACTGCATGCCCCAGAACTTGGGGACCAGCCTAATGTTCAAACTTATTAAGGGTTTAATTTACACCCAGCTCCATTTGCAGGTAGGTCTGCAACCCACTGAACTGTGGTAAACATTTTAAAATGTTTTTACAAGAATAATTTTATTACCATATTATAATTGATAATGATATGATAATGAATGAGATTATGACTGATAATTAGCGTGGTGTTAGTTAGTAACTGGATTGCACATTACTTCATAGAAGTGGTTTTGAAGTGGCGATATATGTTACCTGCCTCATTTACAGCACATTTTAGTAGTTACCTGGTCTGCATCCCTTCCTAAATTATTATATACTAAGAATAGGACAGAAGGGGAAAAACAATGTCCAAGGATTTTTAACGATGCTTTCTGGGAGTCTGCGATGAAAGTCAGTAATAACAAACCCTATGCACTGCTTCACTGCACACCTTATACGTCATGTATGGAGATATGGGAAAGCACATTCTGCCTTGTACCCCGATGTGTGATTTCACATGCGCCGTTTTGGATATGGATGAGTTCCTGCCTCAAGCAGTTCAAAATCACCTGCAGCCTGACCAGAGACACAAGAGGCTGTAACAGGCACAGTCACTGGGATGTACTTTCACTACTAAAAAAACCTAATTCTGTCCTTGATTTCCCTCTTTGAAATAAGCCTTTTTACTTCAAGTAGGATAAACTCAATCAGAATATTACTGTAGTATTTTCACTTCAGGACCATTATGAAACTGGCAAGTTATTTATTGCAATTATGGCATTGTAGATCGATGGCATATATTTGGTAAAGTTTTTAAAAATTTTCCTAAGCCAACTGTAAGAATGTGCGATCCTATTAATTAGTAGCATGCAACTAGTACACACTTTACAAACACATACATTCAAACATATTCAACAAAGAATATCCCAGCACAGTTAATTCTTTCAACAGCTTTATCCAGGGGAAAAAAAAGGTGCATCTCATCAAGACCATAATTTTTAATTAGAACAGGCTTTCTCATAAAAGTAATTTCTCAAATAGCCTCTGCATATCTGTGTACAAGCCTCAACTGCTTACAGGATTCAGGGCACCAAGGCACATCCTCTAAATGTTAGTATTTTGGCTAAAAAGGTTTGCAGGTAATGAACTTCTGGAATGTAAGAAGTGTTAAAATATTGCATATTTTGATTTTTCTTCCCTACATAAAGGGAATCAGAGCAGGTCACATGTGGAAGGCAAGCAGTAAGAATGAGAACCTGAAATCATGACTCCCAAATGTAAGCCAGCCCCAAGAGCTACGATTTTGCATCTACTGGATAAACTGCTTTTTAATGGGGGTGAACAAAATTCACTACTACCATAACCTCATAAATTTAAATGGTAGCAACATAAGCAATAGATTTCGATCCATGTACATGAAATATTCTGTTAGAATCTGAGTTTTAAGAGCATTTAAAAGCATTTATGAAGATATTTACCTTAATGAAGCACACTAGCCACATAACATTACTTCGCATTAATATTCCTGAGGAAGAGTGCCTAGAAAGGGTCAACTAACTAGAATTCTGGCAAAATAGTAAATGAGAGCAATCAGATGAAGAAAAAAAGTTTTCAAATGTATTCTCTACCACATGAAATGCCTCTGTTGTTTTAAGGGGTAAAGCAGTTACCAGGTAATTGCTCTCAAGTCTCAATTAAAATCTAAAACATAATGACATTACAGCTCTATAGAAAGGTCAGAACTGCCAAGAAGTGACTGACATGTGATTCTCTATCTAGATTTGAGCTGTGCTAGTATTCAATCCTTTGAATGTTATTTTATACATTGAATTAGTTAGGGAGGAGCACAAGGTGAGCTTGGGGACAGCAACATCAAGAACTTTTACAGTAATAGCCCCCTCCTCCACAAATTTCCCACAGAAAAAGGAAGAAGAAATTTCTGTACTAAAAGAAAAAAAAAAATCAACAGTAAGGACATGAAGAGCATGTCAACTGACATACCATATATACACACACACTTCGGAGTAAGGCTTTTATACTTTATTATTTTTCCTCCAAAATTATAGCCTTTGCATTATGAAGTAAGCATTGTTTTATTTCCTGTTGAATACCAGGGGTGTGCATCACTCACCAGGCATAAAAAGAAATGGGTCATGATCTAAAAGAATGTATCATGCAGTTTCCCAGTCCTCCTTACAGCTATAGCATGGAGCTGATTAATTCTGCTTGTCTTATGCACAAAACTGGCATACAGGAAAGGAAAACACTATTTCACGATAACTCATCCTTATTGAAAAGGATCTGGCTACTTTTGATCCAATTACAGCATCAAGTCACGTTCCCAGAAGACAGAGACATGTTGGTAAGGCCTTCTGAAAGCACGAAAACTGCAATTATGTTCTACAAGACTCTTCTTCAAAGAGCTGAGCTTCCCCTTGGATATTTCAGTGAGCTTCTTCAGCTCATGCACGCAATCCAAAGCCCACACACTATTCGGATACTCACAGTTTAACTCCAGCAGCTCAAGAATTGAGGAAGGAGGGCAGGAAAACTGCACATTTAAAAAAAGTTAAATAAAGGCCAACATAATTATGAATAGTTTCAAAATATAAGAGATATACTTACTCTTTTTGGAAGACCATACACATGGGTGATCTGCAGTCGAAGTTAAGGCACTCTTGAGCATCTGGACTGTAGCCTTCTTTAAGTAATGCTTCCAAACATTCTTTATGACCACCATATACTGCTGAATACACAGGGCTCACTTTGCCTTTGCCTTTGTCACAAATCCGATCAGTAACTGGTATTAGCAACTCTAATATCCTGCAAATATTTAAAAGAACTATCTATTTTGTGATCTTATGCAATAATTAATTTAATTTGTCTGGTCATTACAACTTAAGAAGTAAATCCTACCTGTTTTTTCACTTTCATACATAGATAACAAACATTGTGCTTTGGGATGGATTTAGGCTGGCAATAAATATTTTAATCTGAACCAGGGACAGATATTTCCTATTATCCAACAATCCATTTTACAGCAATAGAGTACCTCTGCACATTAAATCCAGACTTCCTTGAAGTCTGGAAGCAAACTGAAAACATGAGTTGCAAATAAATTAATATTTACTTCCATTCAACAATACTCACTGAAGTACTGAAACAGAAAAATCATTCTGTTTCATAGCTCACACCTCTACATCCTTTCCAGCCAACAAGGATTAGTGACGGACACCGATTCCTTTGCTACTGGAACTTACTGGCACTGCTCAGAGGTTGCCAGTTACCTATTGTTGCAAAAGCTACGAAGGCAGCTAAACCACATAGTTTAACGGTGGACTTGGCAGTGCTAGGTCAACAGTCGGACTTGATGGTCTTCAAGATCTTTGCCAACCTAAACGATTCTGTGATCTTACGTTTCTGAGAAAATGAACAATACAGAGCTTCCTCAGTATCTACTACAGTCTGCCCTCCTCATCAGTTTGAGGAGTGGCATCAATTTGACACACCAACTTAATGATAACTAAGCTGATGACCTCCTTTTGCTAGGGGTTAAGATCAAGCATCTACTGATAATTTTGCAGTTAGTATTGTCATTAATATATTTGATTTTAAGTGCCGTCATACATGCGCAAATCATGGGGTTCTTGAGAGACGCTTCTCCACAACAGCATGCTACTCTGCGACTTCCTTCCACTCTTGGTTTTCTGCTGTGAAAGCAGCTTTTATCATTGGGATTGGGGAAAGCTACAAATGCATTTTGAAAAGGATTAAAGGAACTGTTTTGTGGCTTTCATTTTCTGGCTGGTTCAGCTAATTCATTATTTGCATATGATTACTTCTACTACTTAATGGTCAGGACTATAATTCTAATTAAGAGCTGTTCAAGTCATGTATAAAGCATATGCTGTTGTTACCTGTATTTTAAGATGTAAAAGTAATATGGCTTTTGAGTGAATCGGTATCTGGTTCAGCACTGTGGAAAACCCTCTAAACTCATTAGGATACGGATCAGACCCAGGTTAGATGCTGAATTAAAAACGGTTGGTCACTTTACTGGGACTACTAACGGACATTAAAATAGGAAAATAATTTGGAATTCTAAATTACAAATCAGCTTGAGAACTTGTTTTTCTTCCTTTTAGAGCTGAACTTCCTCTTTGTTGATTAGGTTGTTACCAGAATCTTCTGTCTGAATGCCTTTTTAATCACCTACTTTTTATGGCCCATTTCAGCTGCTGCATGAATAGGTAACTGCCAGTTATCCTCGTTGCAGTAGAGATTTGGATCTGCCCCTTTTGATAAGAGCAGTTCCACACATTCGGCATGGCCCTCCTGTGCAGCTATCAGCAGGGGAGTGGCTCTGTCCTTGGCTTGACAGTTTACGTCTGCACCTAACAAAAAAAGCCAATACTTTACATCACCACTACAGGACACAAAATAAACAACAAATTAATGTTAATCAGTAATGGGTTTTCACAGAGTGACTTCACAATACAACAGGTTTTCCACAGCAACAAGGAAACATTAACCAGCTTGTCGCTAACTTTTTCAACACTCAGTGCTTTAACATTAACTCTGTCAAAGATCAGCACAACACGAGATAAACCTGCTGGAGGAAAGGCAATGGGCTAGACAATCTTTTGATCACAATTATTTTTTGAGATTCTCCCCCAGGAGACATGTGCTTAGATGTATAAAACTTGTTGATTATATGAATGAGACTGTTGCTGTCACTTTATGATCAGAGAGAGGTATCTTCACTTAACCTGAACAATATTCTATCACAAAAGCAATGTCATCAAAATCAGACCACTAATGTAGTGCTATTGTGGGCTTCTAGAAGACCCTGATGATCCTTAATCTTTTCAGAGTTTTGGTTTATTACTTCCTACCATCACTTGCTGAAAACTATATTAAATTATTGAAACAAGATTTAAGCAATTAAGATGGTTTTGCATACCCACCTGCAATTAAAATTACATTAAAACCCCCTAAAATTTCAAGTTATGAAGTGCAAAAGTAGAACTAAAATTGTATCTGGTGACAGGCTGATGCGAGTTTACAAACAGTAAAAGCTAAATGAATGATCACTATTACCATGGGATACAAGCAGTCTTAAGCTCTCCAGTTTTCCATACTGAGCAGCAACAAACAAAGGTGTAATTCCAAAGTCATCCTTACATTCCTTGCTTGCCCCTTTCTCCAGGAGTATTTTCATTATCTCAGTGCATTCCTGAAATAAATATTTTTATTCTTAACAAAAAAGTGGGGGATTGACATAATGTATTTTTCCCACACATTCCAAACAGAAATAAGAAAAAAACACGATATATTCAATATTCTAAAGGAGTACCGAAAAATTAATGGCAGAAAAAGCTAGACAAGTTTAATTTTTCACATTTGTTCATTTACATAATATGTACAAATGGAAATTAAATTAGTTTATGAGAACCATTTCTAACATATTTCTATCCCAGAAATAGGTTGTACATCTCACTGATGATGAGATACTAAACAGAACTCTTTCTCAAAAAATCTTGTAAGAGATTCACTTCCCAAGTAACAACACATGAGCTTGTGAGTACATGCGATACTTATACTATTTAAATAATTATTGCTTCCCAACATCAACATCTCATGTAGTTCCAGATATACTCTTCAGTGCATTGCAAGCCCTTTGGCGTTTAGGCAACCTTATGACTGCTAGGGTAGGTTAGGAAAAAATACCCGATAAAAAAGCAAATAAATAGATAAATTATCACTCAGAATACAGCAGTTACATGGAAATTATATGATACACTTACAGGTTACCTGAAAAGAAGCTTGGTGCAAAGAATTCCATGCAGACCAAGAATGAGGTCCCTTAATATTTGCTCCGTGTTGGAGCAGAAACTTTACAACATCTGCATGTCCATTTTCAACAGCTTCAGATAGAACAGTAACAAAAAGAAGAAAAAAGAATTCTTATTAAATGGATTTAAGGAACTCATTGAAAAATTCAAATGGTCTCACCACTAACTTCCTGACACAATAATCATAATTCTTTTAAACTTGCCTTTTACATTTACACCCCCAAAACAGTTTTGGAGAGTGGAAATTTATCCACAAAGTTTTTAGTTAAGACTTGTTAAAATTCTACCTACATTGTGCTAACAAGAGTAACAAAAGCAAATTTCTCTCCTCCCTCTTTCCTGTGGAACACGGAGACAAATCTGCAGCAGGCACCTAACTGCATGACAGTTGCAATGGCCTCCCAAATTTGTGAAGCCCAGTGGCTATCTTAAAACAAATTCCTCCAAACATAAACTTAAAAAAAAAATTTAAAACTGTTTTAAACACTTATATAAAATTAATTTATAACGTGTACATTTAACTTATGCTAATGCATTCATTAACAAAGCCTCCTTTAGCATCCTGATTCATCCTCAAGTTTTTGCCAACGACAATTATACCAAGGCACATTTCCTGTGTAACCGTAAAAGCTTGATATGGTGATAAATGACCTGCAAATAGTTGCTACTGATTAAATAATTTTTAGAGTATTAGTGCACAAGCTCGCCAAAGGGGCACCAGTGGCTTGTAGTACTCAATGTCCAACACAGAGCTGTACCATAACCCCATTATGTAGTTTGGACTAACCTGACCATATACTTTTTCCTTTTTAAAAATCTCTTGGATACACAACTCCAGGACCGTTCCTTGGCCCTGTCTAATCTATGTAAGCACTTACACATAGTGTTAATTATCATTATCCAGCGTGCTTTTAGTGATGATTTCCCCACAAGTGCTACCTGTTACCAATTGTTTTAAGCAAATAAGCTATTTTGTCGCTTAAAAATAAAATGTGACTAGACTTGTAAACAGAGGTAATGTGGCAGCCGTGTTTGCCTGGGTACGGAGGTGAGTAAAACAATAAGCATATTTAATCAGATGATTTAGGCTCTGAGAATTCGCTATAGCAGAAGTTTTAAGCATTTAATTATGTCAAACATAAATCATAGAAAAAAATACTACAATAATGGACTTTAATTGCTAAACTAGGAATTCCAAAAAGAATAAGAGGTCTTTCCACATAAGAAGTAGGGAGGAATTAAAAAAATAATACTTGAAACACCCTCACATAGATGCAATCCTATACCTCCTAGACCTTTTCTGTGCCAGAAAGAAAGAAAAGGTGATACAGGAAACCAATTTGGCTATACAATTTTGTTTTAAAACACAGTCTGAAGCAGATTTGTCCACAAATAAAAGGTAATTTTTAGACCCACTCCATCCCTGAGCCTAAAGCCTAGTATTTAGGCTACAAAAATATGAAACATGGTAGGCAGTAAATGAACTCTGGTGAGTTTAAACTCAGCAAATAAGCTTTGCCCCACTCCTCAGCTGTTGTGAGATTTCAAGAAAGCTCGTGTCACCTAGGAACAGCGGGGTTGTTGCTTCGGTGGTAACTTCATTTGGGTCAGCCCCAGCTTCCAGAAGAACACGAATGCTTTCCAAAGACCCATGGCGTGCTGAAAGGTGCAGCGCACACAGCCCTTCAAATGTCTTTGATTTTATGTAGTCATCAGATGGAGCTACAAATGAGAGTAAGGGAGGAGGAAAAAAAAAAAAATACATTTAGCAATGAATTACAACACACAGTTATTTTCTGAAAATAACCGAGTTATTTGAGATGCATGGCCTACAGCGTATCCACGCGTGTGCTGTTATCAACTCTTCCAAACAGCAGTGTCAGTTACTGCTGGCCCTAGGCAGATACCCGCCTTGGACAGAGAAGGTGAAGTAAAATCAAATGTCATTCACAGACTGCAACATGCCAATTTCTCTCTACCACAGCTAAGTCAGTAACTACCAAACCACACAGAAATTTGTGAAACAAGTAAGAATAAGATAAGGGAAATCTATTTGGTTTATATTTTATATGACGGGGTAATTCAGCAGCAAATCACACTGTCTCACATCAGATTTTCCTTACCTGCACGAACTAACAGCCTCAGACATTCACTCGAATTGTGAGCTGCTGCTTCGTGGATTGGCACCCAACCCCTGTTATCTGGAACATCGATGCTGTATCCCTGCTTAATTAGTTTCCTCAGCATTTTAACGTTTCCTTCTCTGGCTGCAAGCCCCACGGCAGAACATCGATCGGAATAGGCTTCCGTGAAATCCATCCCCGCGTACGGCAAACGCTGCAGGAGCAAGGCGGGAGGAAGAAGGGGAAGGAGAGGAGGGGGAAGAAAATAAAAATAGTAGTTAAAAAAGAGACGCCTGTTAGTACGAAGTATGTGTATTTTTGTTTTGTTTTGCAGAGGTTTTGGTTCGGTTTGCGGTTTCGGGGGCAGCGCGTTTGTTTGCGGGGGGGTAACGGCCCCCAGCGGCTCCCCGGGCAGCAGTCACGGAGGGCGGGGGCCACCTTTTCCCGACCGGCCGGCCGAGCCGAGAAGGCAAACCCCAGCGCACCGGGCGGGCTCACGCTCACAGACACTCCGCCAAAACGGCGCCGTGGCTCCGGCAGGACC